TTATTCTTGACAAGAGACTTAACTTCACACACCACATCAAATACATCACAGAGAAAATTAAAAAGATGGCCAACGCTCTCATTAGTATTGCAAGGAAAACATGGAGCCTTAGCCCTAATGCTACTAAGCTTATTTATAAGGGTGCAATTCAGCCAGCACTCCTCTATGCTATATAGGTCTAGGACTACAAGGCTGCCAAAGTCCATAACTGTAAAAAACTATTATCTGTTCAAAAGATTGCAGCTCTCTGCATTTGTAAGGCTTATAGGACCACACCCACTAGTGCCCTTTTGGTAATGTCAGGGATGAACCCTATTGACTTTGAAATTAAATGCACTATTTGGCAGGAAAATCTCATCACCTTACCCTGGCGAGATTATAGCAACTCAAATGTCGACAAAATGATTAGAATAGGTAAGATTCTTGATAATGCACCACTGAAAGTACTTGTGTACAGTACATATTTTATCTTTATTAAAGAGTTTTAATGCCAAATACATTTGTCTATGTATTACTTATGTAATTTGGTACCATGTGTGTGTTCAGTTTTTGATACATCTTTAATTGCAATAATTTCCAGAATTCTAAATCATCCTTTAGTGAAACCAGTGTCTTATATCAAATTAACAAAAGGCCCACCAGCCAAGTTTCTTTTGAAATTGTCAAGTCTTTGCAGCATTGCAGCTTATAACCATTGTATGTCACCAGTCTATGACAAAATATTTACAAAAATTCAATATACAGTATATATGTAGAAGTTCCTTATAAGAAAGTTATCCATAATAAGGTAGTTGATAAAACGTAGAGAAATAATTTCTTCAGGCTCAGAGTTTGATTCTGATGAACAAATATTAGAAAAATCAACAGATATTATTGAAGAAGAAAAGTTAAAGGTAAAATGAATCTTGTAAAACTTGGTATGTTTTTAAATTTTAGTTATAATGAAGGTTTTGATATGTACAGGACACTACAGGAAATAAATAAGCATGTTTGGCATCTTTTTAACACATCAATTAAACTTAATTAAATTTATATATATATGAGTTTTAGGAGGTAATTGAGGTTAAAAGGTCTTACAGACCCTCACTAAAGCCCTGTGTATAACAAAGAATATCTGTAGTTCAAACTCTATTTTTTAGAAATGGAATTTCATTTTATGACATTAGACCTATGCATTATTACAGTTGAATTAAGATAACTCATTTAACAATGACCTTTTAGCAACTAATTAGATCATAAACGTGCAAAACTACTACATTTTATGTATATATGAAAATGTATATTTACATTTTTTATATACATGAAACAAAAATGAAATTTCAGGTTCTACAGAGTACTGTGCATGTGAACATTAAACTGCCATTTCTAATTTCAAAAAATTCTAATGAAGCTTGTTTATTTTACTACAAAATATGGTATATAGAATGTCATTTTTTTTATTTCAGGTCCTTTGTTTTTTATTAATGTTTATTTTTTTAAATTAAAAACAATATTATAATTAAATAACAACCTTAACAACACCAGGGTAAAGTTAACTACATACACTAACCTGTAACCAATGTAAAACTCAAAAAGTAGAATGACACCAAGAATCACGTATTCGAATCAAATTTCAAATTGTGTTCTTATTTATTTGCATTCCATCAGAAATTTTGCCATTCACCCAAAGAAGAACCATTTATGGTTCAAAAACATTTGTGAAGAACTGTATGTTCGTTTTTATTTGAGTTTCACACCAGAAACAGGTTTGTGTATGTAGTTAACATTATAACTAAATAATAATTGCATTCAAAACTCATTTAAATTTCACCTTCTCATTACATTCATATGCACATTACAAAATAATCATTGAAATTTTCTTACAAATCTGACCCTATTTTATCACTTCATATATATTGTACTAAAATTAAATAAATAGTTTTTGTTTAAATTAAAGCATGAAAAACACATATAATTTTGTAGTTGATTACACCTATAACACTATACTTGTGGAAATCAAATCATGTATAAACAGTGTTTACAGCACCTGTGCCATGTGCCATAAATATTTTATGGCACAGCTTTATGGTACAAGTGCACAAACACTGTGTTTATACATGATTTTGATTTCCATAAGTCTAGTGTTATAGGAGTAGTCTAACAACAAAATACCATATGACAATTTATTTATAATAAGTGATTAAAGCATTGATGGAAATTGGCCCACTCGTTCCACTCATGTGCCAAACTTCCATTCATGCCATAATCACCTATATTATAAACTAATTGCATAATATACTATTATGTCTATCCTTAGGTTTTCATAATCTACAATTTCTTTTGTTGCATCATCTGTCTTTGCTTTTTATCAACTTTCATTGTTTGAAGAATAGTTTCTTTTTATCAATCTGTAAATGTTATTAGTATCATTATTTTCTACCATTCAATCAAATAAGTGAAATCATAAAAATTCAATTTATTTCAAATACCATACTGTCTGGTCAAAAGCCCACTGGGTTTAAACATTTTCCAAAACATTAACTTCTATTAAAATCACTATTTACTGTATATTAATTTTCTGGTTTTTAAGGTAACTCTCTGTAAGAAGACACATCAAATCTTGATTTTGATTTTCAAAAAGTTACTACAAATTTAGTCCCCACTGTTATTATAGATGTAAATAGCTCTATGATACATTTACACAAGTGTTTTAAAAAAAATTGTAGTGATGATTAGAAAAAAAATAATTACCAAATATTTCAAAAATTTTCTTAAAATGCATTGTTTACTCTATTAAAATACCAATTTCTCATTAATGAAAATAAGGTACCATAACAGAGAAAAGACTCCTATAAAGACAATTTTAACAAAAAGAAAAAAACACAGATGTGCTACTAACAAAGATAATGAAATTTAAAATTTTCTGTTAAATGTTTCTAATTATAAATNTGCCAATAACATGCCAGCATAGGCATTTGATCTGGTCTTTTGTAGGGTTTTTTTTTCTTAAACTATATTTTCTGAGTCAGTTTAAGTTACAATAATGTAAATACTGTGGAGAAATAATACATCATACTTTACTCACCATCTTGAAACAGAGTTGTCCTGAAAAATGTAAACTTTTGTTTCATGAAATTGTTCCTTGATTGTTGAAAATAACTTGACAGATAAGATGTTTTTTGTAGCACACTGCATTCACAGACCTATTTATAATGTGTAGTTAGTCTGCCAACACCTTTACTAGATACACATTCCAACATCATTATTACAGAAGAGCGTCGATTATCTGAATCAATTGGGGACTGGGGTTGTTCGGAAAATCAATTTTTTGGATAACCGATATGTACGAAAAAATACATTATTAATATAGTATATTAATATATCCCATATTTAAATTTTTCTCTGTTGTGTGTCACTTTGCGTTGAATTTTCATCAATGTTAAACCTAACAAAAAATTTTATAATAATAATTATGGCTATTGTATCACTAAAAATTATTTCTTTATTTTGTACAGTACAAACAAAATAAATATATTGAAAAATATAAAAACAAAAAAAAATTATACTTTAGAAGTTAATATAGTATAAAAAATGTTCAATTCAGCACAACACAGTCCAACTGGAATGCTTTCAGTTAACTGACATTTTGGTAGATTGGCATTCAGATAATCGATGCTCTACTGTAAATAGAATTAAATAACTTTCAAATTACTTTTCATGCTTAAAGTTAACTCTTACCATTTTTATCAATATTTTCATCATTATTAATTCCATTATCTAAATTTGTGATGTTTTCAGATTCATTATCATCATCATCATCATCATCATCATCAGAAATTAAGCTTTTCCTCTTTGTAGTTAAAGTAGAGAGCATTGCAAGGCGGTCTATTTCTTTATCTAAACTGTTATCAGCTATCTTGTCTTTTTTATTTTTCTCTGAATTTTTTTCAGGTTTTTCCAATTTTTGTTCATCCATTGGAAGATCTTCAATTGTATCATCTAAAGTTCTATCATCCACTTTCTCAATTCGTACTTTCACATCCATTTGAAGTTTATCATCTTTATGATCAGAATATTCTGACTTAGATTCTTCAGAAGTATTTGAATCATCAGAATCAGATTGGGTAGTTGAAACTTCAGTTGTAGAATCACTATTAAAATGCTCTTTATTTAATGAAATTGCTTCTGGAAGACTAAATGGTTCTGTTTCACTGTCAGAAGAATCATCAGCCAGTAACTTTTCTTTAATCTTTTCATTTTCAGTTTTTAGTTTTTCTTGTTTAGACAAATTTTTATCATTTTTTTCTTTTTGAACGTTTTGTTCAGAGTCAATGGAACTATTTGATTCTGTAAGTAATAAATTTGTAACATTCTCTTGTGAAGATAAAATACTTTTATCAGCATTATTATGATCATCAATGCCATCATTCTCATCACAAGAACTGTGTGATAAATCCCTATCAATTTTATCAGAATTTACATCACTAGTATTCTCTACATCTTTTTCATCATCATTTTTTATAAATTCTGACCTTTCTTCAGGAATATCTGCATCATTTTTACTTTTTACAATTTCCATACTATTTTCAGAATTAAATTCATTATTAATTTTAGAAATATTTTCTGAAGATGAAATCAATTCTGTTACATTAAAAGCATCATTATTTAAATTACTAAGATGAAATCAATTCTGTTACATTAAAAGCATCATTATTTAAATTACTGATATTATTACTACATTCATCTGTTAAAATTTCATCTTCAGTTTTACAGTCTTTATTTTCTTTTTTAGTATAAACTGACAAATCTTGAGAATTGCTGGTTTTATTATTTAAACTAGAAGTGAATGATTTCAACTCATGAATATCAGTTTGAAGACTTTGTGTTAATTCAGTACATTCATTTTTTCTTTTTGCGTCTTTATCATCTAATTTTTCTGCATTCTCTTCTACTTCACTGGTCTCACCTGAAGTATCAGAATGGAATTCATTACTTTTTAAAGAATAATCGTCGTCATTTTCATCATCTTTAGAATGTTTCTCATCACTAGATTCAGAACTGTTACTGTTATCAGTGTATGAATTTTCAAAACCATTTTCTTCGATTATTCTTCTTGAAACAGTTGATTCTGTTTTTTGTACATCTGTTTCTATTTTAACCTGTCTGTGAAAATTTAGTGAATTTCTATCTTTAATAAAAGGACTCTGTTTTCCTACAACATTTCTTAATTGTTTTATGTATTTATTTAAAATTCGATCTAGCACTTTATTACACTGAATTACTGATTCTGGTTTTTCCTTATCTATATTTGTTTTTAATAACTGAACTTGTTCTTTTAAACTTTCAGCAATGACGGTAACATCCTCAATCCTTTGTTGTACCCACGTACCTTTATCAAAATCTGAAAAATCATTTATACAAATCACTTTATCATTAAATTTATTAGATAATTTTGGACTTCTCTTGCGTGACATTCTCTGACTATAATCCAATATCATGGAACAATATGAAACTAAGCCATTAAGTTTTTGAGAATTACACATGTAACAATGCCATTTCACAGCATCCTGGATACAACTCACTTCTCCACGTCCAAAATTTCGTCTAATACAATTATAACAAAATGCATTTAAACAGTAATCACAAGCAATAAGTTTTCCACCTTGAGCACACCATCGGCAATATATATCACCAGTTTCATCATGAGAAAATTCACCACTATCATAAAATTCAAAGCAATCCTGAAAATAAAAATTATACTTTTCAAAAGCATTCTTATTAACAAGTAAAATCATTATTGATATTTCAATATTTTATTAACAATACTATCAGATAAATATTATAAAATGAAATTCATAGCTGCTTTAATTTCTTTCTTCATTTTCTCAAATCCAGACCATCAATAAAAAAATTAAGGTAACTGAATAAATAAATTTTGTTCTTCAGATGACTGAAATAATGAAAAACTTCATAACAGAATTATCAGTAAAAAAAAATTTCCCTTAATGTTTATTAGCGTTACTAAACAAACCTAATATTTCATGTTTAGATTAATTAAAAAAGAACAGATAAACAACAAACATGCCTTTCAAATACAATTTCTGACACTTTTACAATTAAAAACACAAAGAAATTCTTCACACTATCATTTTTATCCATTCTTTTAAACTGCTTCTAGCCCTCTAGTGGTAGTTACGAGTATCTACCTTATTTGCATATAGTTACAATTTTTCTGATTACTCAGGATTTATTTCTTCATAATTTGAAGTTTGGACTATTTACAAAAAGTCAAAATTAACTTCTGAGTCCATCTTTATCCTTATTACACTACCATTTCTGTTACTTCTATGGTAGTGTAATAAGGATAAAGATGGACTCAGAAGTTAATTTTGACTTTTTGTAAATAGTCCAAACTTCAAATTATGAATAACTGTTGTTGATTTATTAAAAAATTATTTTGTAGCAGTAAACCATAAGTCACACACTAGGATTACTGCACTATAAATTATGTCAATTTTTGTGTCCATTGTTTTACTCTCAATAGATCATTTCTAGAATTGTGGCTCTACTTATTACTTTCCTGACTATTATATATAACAGAGGGTAAGTATGGCAATCGGTCAAAAAATTATTCCTCAAGATTTTTACATTTTTGAAGTACAGGACATTGAAACGTGGAGAAATCCAAAAATTAAGGATTTTTTTCCCCCTGTATGTGTAGATGTTTGTGTGAAGAGGCACGATTTTGTTCACCCACTTTGAAGCTTAACTCCTGTGCTTTTAAATGACGTTGCCGGGAAAGTTACGCAACTCGTTGCTGGATTTTTTTTCATAATCGTCCGAGAAAAATTTTCTTTTTTCACAAAAAAAAGGAGGAAAGAAACGGATTAATGGAATTATGTGTTCTCAAATAAATCTTTGCATATTATTTATTAATTTTTTAGGTCTTGTTCATAAATTATTTTATGAACCATCATTTTAAAATGACTAAGAAACTTAGACAACAGACTGTAATTGATTATGGCGGGAGCATTTTTTTCTTCAAGTAGTAACCAAATATTACGAAATTTTTCCCCTGACGGTGGACAGTTCTGTTTCTAATGGCTCTTCGATTTCAGGAAGGTGGTGGCCAGTGACCTTCGGCTGGGGCACGGGGTTCGGAATGGCCCTGTCCAACTGCCAACACGATCTGAACGAATCGTATTTGTACAGGATCCAGAAAATCAAAGTAAGCGCTTTTTAATTTTCGAATTATCGAATTTTTTATAAAACGAATTTATTCCTTTTTTTCTCCAGGAGAAACAAAAGTCCATAGAAGAGGCTTCGCCCTCATAGATCGATTTCTCTTCCGAATAATGAGATTTGTAATTAGGTCGCAGTTTACAGCGGTAGAATTTGTAAATTGATTCAATAAATCATTCATTTATTAGAAACGATTGAGGCGTAATTTCTGTCCAGAGAATCCAAATTTCAATTTATTTCATTGAATATACTAATGATCCGGTTATATCGCCAAATAACTTTAAAAATACATATATTTATCGAATGTTCGATATTATGGGCAGTGTGTAAGGTGCGTGACGGGTCGTCGGAGCATATGAAAGGCATCATAAATGGTGTTTTTACCTTCGGAGGATAGAGGAGGCGGTAAATTTTAACGTTTTGATTATTAAAATAATACTGTATAAGTTTGCAACAGGTTGTTTTGAAAAATAAAATTCAGTTGACAATTTTTTTCTATAAATGCACTGAAAAACCTTTGACCACCATTCGTTTTCTAGATGTCGGAGGGAAACAGTTTTCTTGGTACCAACGATCGTCAATGTTGATTGCGATGGAAGGATTTTTTTCGGACACGACACATTCGAAGCTTCTTAATAGAAGATTCTGAATATTTTAATTCTTGAAGTTAGACTATTTACAAAAACATATTAATATTTTCGAGTCTATCATTAAATCCTTTTACACAAACCATAGAAGATACAGTTATATTGGTTAGAAGATAAAACTTCTTTAAAATACAAATAATAAAAGGTAAAAATTCACATGTTTAAAAATGATCAAACGCCAGCCTTTTATCTGACGTTTTTTACATTAAAAACTGGCTTTTATAGCAGCGTTTTCTAAACATTTTGTCATGGAAAACATTCTTTTATGGCTGGCTGATTTTTAAAGTAAACAATGCCCAAGTACATTGTACAGTATTTGTGAAAACGAACAAATCTTTTGCTGGGAAACGTATATAAATTATAATTAATATTTAATTACTGGAAAGTTGAATCGTCGAGTCAGATTCGGCCACTAGTATATGGGTCAAATTTTTATTTATTTATTTTTGAAAATTTAATAAGGAATTGTAGTAGGTAGAATTTTACTAATATAAGTATTTTTATACGTAAATATTCGAAACTTTTAAAAATATTTGTCATTTATTAAATTTGCCCTATATAAAAATACGTGGAGTTGGTAATTACGGATAATGCTACTATATCTCGATGAGGAAAGTTCTTTTTGATAGTTTGTTATAGTTTTCTTGAACAAAATGAAAATGATAGGAAACAACGCGCATTGGTTCAGAACGTTGTCTTTTACGAATGTTTACATTCGAGGACGTTTCGAATGAATTTAAGAAACAAAACAAGTGATTTTTTTTTAGTGACGGTAGAATCGAACGGTTACGTAAACATTGATAATTGGATGCCGGAATACGTTTGATTCAAAAATAGCTTTTAAAAAAAGAAGCTAGAATAAAAATTCTCATTACAAACTACTTTGAGTGAGATTGTCCGTATCGCATCGATCCTCGAAAATTGTAAAGAGAAGAAAATTCGCATTACTGCTCATTTCAAATGAATTTAAGTTGAAAATTTAACGAATTATATCCAATACGTATATAACTATTATTGAACGTAACGAAATATCTATACAGTAGAACCTCGATTATCCGGACTAATTGGGGATGAAGGTAGTCCGGATAAGGAAAAATCCGGATAATCGAAACAAATACTTTAATTTGTCTTTTAATGATAATACAACACGTTTTCTTTTCGATGACATATCGGTAATATTA